AAAACGTGCGTAAATTATTCACAAAATTTAGAAAAGAATATTGAAATGACCCGGAAACGCTTCAGTGATGAAATAATCTAAGATTTCAACTACATCACAGTATAACAATCACCTACTACGAAAGCTTCTACCCCCCAGCATTGCCATCTTCCTGTTACAGGACTTCATTATAATTTTGGATAATTCTTTAAAGCTCCTCAGTGAAGAGTAAAAAAGAACATCTTTTCGGAAAAAAATTATATTAAAAATATTGTATTGATTCCGAATCAGTACAATATTTTATTACTTATACAATTATTCTACAAACATAACGCTGTAGTAACTCCGAAATTCTAACTAAACCACGGTATAAAAATCAACTACTACTAACGCGACCGGGCAACTTCTCCCCCCAGGACTACGAGCCTCTTGTTCCTGTATTGCCATCTTCTTCTCAATCAACAGCTCGCGCTTCTCCAACGTTTCGATCGCTTCCTTGTTCTTCATAATTGCATCGGGCAAGTTCTGAAAACAAAACCGAAAAATCGAAAAATCTCCATTTTTTCCGCACTTATACTAAAATCACTATATATATTTCAATACAAAAAAGCAGACCGAATCGCCTCGTCAATTCCTCACCCTCGGAAGCTGATATCACAGGTGACGAAGTAATACTATATTATAGAACTATTAGAAATTACTAGTTAATATTTATTACTACTATGATCATCATTATGAAACACTTTACTGGAAAAATGAGCTATAAAAAATTTGGTAGAGTTATCTTATACTTTTTAAACTCTCACCCAGTGAGACAGTCAACTTCTAGCAAAGTGTGGTACACGCTGTTACGATCATATTCATTATGAACATATACTTATGAACCTGATTCTGTAAATGCAGTACAACACGATATGTTTATTCATGTTCTCCATGTCTGCTACTTTTCGAACACGACTACTTTAATGCGCACAACCTAGTCCCCTTCTATTTGTATGTCAATATTGTATAATTCATTCATATTATTCTTGGACGATCTTATATACTACAATCATAACTAATCTCGAAACTATCATAAAACTGTCAATATAAAGTTATTAAATCACCATATAGTGTTCGTTGATCGATTCGAGTCACATGTCCTTCTCCATCACAGAAATTGATCTAAATTCATCATTACTAAGGGAATCTGTATCAGTTCCTCTTCCTCCGCTCACTTATATGCTCAGATTCAGCGGGTAATCTCACACACACACACACACACACACACCTCAGGCCTTCTTATAACAATACATTTCCATCGTGCAAACCAACAAACGTATTGTGATATAGCCCCGCGACAGGCAGGATTGAAGACCTCCACAGTAGTAAATCTTGATTATTTCTCCACCGTACAACTTTACAGATGAAAATTTTCAATTTTGGATTTCATAACTACTTCGAATAAACCCGCAAAAAGCGACAATGTAAGAAGTTTCATAGCAGACAGAGAGTGTCCTCACCTGTTGTGGAGGAGGAGCCGACTTCTTCTGCTCTTTCTTCTTACCAAAGAACAGACGCATCGTGAATGAAACTTTACAAAAATGGAAAACGACTGCAAAATTCATCTTTTCCAAACAACAGTGCACTCTCGCCCTAAACCAATAATATGATTTCATGCTCAGGACCTTCATCATGTAAGGCGCCATAAGAAGATCAGTTCACACGAGCTAAGAGTACAATGACATAAATACACGAACAAAACCAACCCGAATGCCGCTCTAGTGGAACAGTATAGCCCAGCAAATGCGAATTCTAGCAAATTTCAAAACAACTCAAAAAAACATTATTCCCGATAACTGTGAGTGTGCTTTCACGAGATCGAGGGTTAACCGATTAAAGACAAATCGTCATCACAGCAACTCCGCTTAACACTACACTCACTAAAGATACGAAACAGGAAGAGTGTAACAGCGTTATAGTAGTAGCACCAGCTTGAGCTGAGCCTCTTCCGAAGATGAAGATATGTATCAACAGTAGTAGTAGTAGCAGTGGTAGTAGTAATGAGTAATAATAATTGTAGCAATATGTCAAAGGCGAGTCAAGTCAATTTACACAGAGGGTCAGTCAAGGTGAAGAATCAGCTTGACAACCTCATCAAAGCTCGCGGCCACATGAGGATTGGATAGGAGATCTCCGAAGGGAGAACTATAAATGAAGACAAGATAAGGCATCTTTTGATCGAATACGGACCTATTCCGTATCTTGCTAACTCAACCTCGGATATCTTCCTCCTCAGCAGCCTTCCGTGCCTTCTTCTCATTGTATCTCTTCGTAGCATAACCATAAGCAACAACACCAAAGATCGACATCAACGCGGACGCCAGCGTGATATCTCTTTGCCAGCGGTCCAACGGAAAAAGGCAGTACTTCTCAATGTGCGAACAATACATAAAGTGAGAAAGGAAAATGTAAATACCAGTTTTCAAGCCCTTGGCGATAGCAGTGCCGACGTTGCCGATTCTTCCAAGTAGCAGGAAGAAACAAGTCGCATGCAGGAAGTTACATAATACGAAAAGTACATACCATCCCATAACTGTGCCAACGTCCGAGCCAGCTTCGTGGATTTCATCTACGATTTGCGTTTCGACTCTCCATGAACTCCAACCGATAAAGTAGAAGGTATAGACGATTATAGAGTAAATGCCTATAATACCACATAGTCTTGTCGGAGGGAAGTCGTACTTCTTGATATAGTATTCGTTGATGATGTTAGTAAGGGAGTGCATGAAACAACCGCATAAGATTAGGATAGTCCCAACCACGAGTTGATGAGAGCCGTCCACGGAGTTCACGAAGGACTTCATGGCAACACCAGCAATGACGATCATAATAGCTCCTATCTGCCATATGGAGAAGCGTTGTTTTAGAAAGATGAAGGAGAGTACAACTGTCCACACAATGCAAGAGTTATACAGCATAGTGTAGATCTGGGCGCCGGCCAAGACGATGCCAAACTGGAGAAGGACTTGAGAAACGATGTCAACAGCGGAGGGAATAGCAGCACGTTTCCAATCGCATTTCCACAGGGGCTTTGCTGCTGGTAAGAAGACCACGAGGACGTTGCCAAGGGCGTTAGCGGCGAAGGTGAGGAGATGGACAGTCTTCTTACCACCACCACCGTGGTTGCGAATTTGATCTTCACATAGGTTCTGCATGATAGCAGATGCGACGAAGACTATCATCAACGGCCAGAAGGGCACATGCTCGATGTAGTAGGCGACCTTAGTGCTGAAGCGCTTTAAGGCGGTTACCTGTTTGGTGGTGGGTTTGGTGCACGGAGAGGAGTCGAGCGACTCGCTGGACCCCACCATGGGAAGGACAAAGGAAGGCTCCTGAGCATCGATAGAGGCTTTCTCTACTCCCAATCACCATTCGAGTATAAAATTATTCCCTAGGCATGGTCTCGTGCTACAGAGACTAATCCCCCTACTTATAAGATTTCCTACCCCACGAGTGCACGATTCGTTCAGTTGGGGGTAGACCTAAGTTTGTTCAAGGGGGACGTGGTGGCTATCAGTACTTGTGGAATAGCAAGTCTGAGGAAGAGTGCAAGTGATGAAGTGAAGGGACGGACGATTCTCCAGTGATCACCTTTGGAAGTGACGTGGCGTATATCAATGGTATTAGCACTGATAATAAGTAAACGATGATAGTGGGGTTGTTTTGACCAGTCAGTTTGTAGGTTTCGAATGAGATTGTAATTAACCACAGTAATTCTGGTCTTGTCTTATGAGTCAAGCGTGATCTGATTGTGGTAAGTAGAGCTTCCAAGCTCACAGTGGTTAAAGAGCTATCCAGCACCACATCTATCCTCGATGGTCCGTGTCGCATTCAGATTCGCGCTTGCACAGTGACAGGCTAGAGGCTCGCAAGCGCAGAATTTTCGATGGGTCTACTGCTGATGCCTGGTAATTATTAAGTGGACCCTCAACTCTGGTTGTGTATGCCTGGAAGATAACTTGATAGAAACGTTGTAACGAGTCGTTGAACCTGCGTCAAACAGAGGAGCCATAACGATCGCGTGATAGAAATCGGAGCTAGCTTAACTCAGCACGTTTCCACGGTCTCAATAGATTCGGATGTCCTTGTGTTGGGCTAGTTTCTTCTCTGGTTCAAGTCATTGAGATTATAGTATTCTTGTGGCAGTTAGCACTGATTTTCGACCAATATGGTTGACACCAACACTATCGGCGATTCTGCTGAGGGTAGCGGCCAGGTCCTGCGATCTCCCAGGACTATGCGTATCTTAATATGTGGATGCTGGGATCTGATGCACACTGGTCACTTCAATGCCATCAGACAAGTAAGTGACAAAAGCGAGGATTGAATCCAGATCTTTGAGTTGTATTTAGGTTGCGACCATCGCTCACGAGATTGAGAGGGAGAAAGAATTGGAAGGGGAGGTAAGGAAGGAGGTTGTGCCCCCACTAGCGTCGTCCCATTCTGTGTTGTTATGTGTGAGTAGTAGTGGGGAAAATTTACGTTACCGAAGACTTCCTATTTCTCGAGCTTTTATTCAACAGTTAGATGTGCTCTTTGTCGTGCCCGTCTTGTGTCTCATTCCTCTTGCACGGCTCTCTCATCAATGATAGTAGCGGGCATCACGCAGAGTATTGTTTGGGTGTGCGTCTGTTGGGACGAGCTTTGGTAGCCTATGAGTCAGTTGCGAGGAATGGTTGTAAGAGTCGTCCGCTTGAGTGATGTTCGTCTCTCAGAGGGTTCGTGTTGAAGTAGTGGCTGGAATCCACCCTAACAAGGAAATCCGTCGAGTAAAAGGAGGGGAGTTCGTCTGTTCGGAAGAGGAGAAGGAGGTACTGGCAATAGTCCTCATACTTGTGGCGGGTGAAATTTGCCTTCCAGACGATGTTGAGATCCTGTAAGTGGGTGGATGACATTGTGCACGATGTTCCTTACAAGCCCCTCACAGTGGAATTCCTGGATAAGGTATTGTCTCCGTGACGCTAAATTATCTCGCGGTATTGAACGGGCTTTAGCAGTGCTAGGATTCTTCCTGCCAACACGCATCGTCGTTTCCACTTGACTGTTGTTACCTTTTCTCCTTCAGCATCGCATCGATTATGCGGTGCATGGTGACGACATTGCCAAAGCCTCTGATGGTACCGATATGTATGGTTACGTCAAAGAAGCTGGAAGGTGAGAATCATCACTTGATGGTTCTTTGGTATGCGATCTGAATCGCAGAGTCGTGGTTCCCCTCAGATACCGCGAGTTTAGGAGGAGCGAGTGTATCTCTACAACGAC